GTAAACCAGTCGGCTAACTGTGTAGCTCATTATTTACGGTCAATGGTTTAGAAATGTTGTTGTGAAGATGTTGAAAATGAGTTTGTGTGATGTTAGAAGCTAAAGGTTCAGCTCGGTGGTTATCTGACGTTATGATGAATGTTATACTCCACCTAAATGTGGACATTAAAAAACAAACTTTGTGTAGTAATTATCCGTCAGTAACATAAACTGAACTGAACCTAATGTGCTGTGTAGGTTATAGAGCAGGGGTGTCCAAACTACGGCCCGCGGGCCAACTGCGGCCCGCGGTCCAGTTTTTATTGGCCCGCAGCAAATTCTGAAAATATAATTGAATATGGCCCGTACAAGAAGCTTGAGCTCAACTCTGTTGCACTTCTCAGTTTCAACACTAGATGGAGCCAGCCACAGAAACGGTGCTTCTCCACTAAGCAAAATTAAGCAAAGAAAAACTTATACCGCGAAAGTCGTCACCAGAAATGGCAGCACCGAAGAAGCGCAAAATAGCTAGTGAGTGTAGGAGATTTCAAACACGGTGGGAAAATGAATATTTCTACAAAGAAGTCAACGGAAAGTGTGTCTGTTTGATTTGCAAGGAAGATGTTGCTGTGATGAAAGAGTATAATGTCCATCGGCACTATGAGACCAAACATCAGAGCTACACATCGTACACCGGTGCCGAACGAACACAGAAAGTCAAGCAAATGGCAGCTAGCCTGCAAGCTCAACAACAGATTGTTTTTCGTACAAACAAAATACAGGAAAACACCACAACAGCAAGCTATGAAGTGGCTAAACTTATTGCCCAGCACGGCAAACCGTTCTCAGACGGCGATTTCATAAAGCAGTGCCTCATCAAAGTCACAGAAATAATGTGCCCGGAAAAAGTGCAGGATTTCAAAAACGTGAGCTTGTCCAGAAATACAGTGGTGCGGAGAATCGAGGACTTGTCAGCTAACTTGAAACTTCAGCTGAAAGACAAAGCTTGTGCTTTTGATTTTTACTCGATAGCATGCGATGAGAGCACAGATGCCACAGACATCGCGCAGCTGTTCATTTTTTTGCGGGGAGTGGATGATCATTTTTCCTGTACGGAGGCGCTGCTTGATATGATGAGCCTAAAAGGCACAACGACGGGTAAAGACATTCTTGAAGCTGTGTCGGAGGCCGTTGAAAAGATGGGGCTTAAATGGGAAAAGCTCTGTGGAGTAACAACGGATGGAGCTCCGGCCATGACCGGCGAGCGCAAAGGAATGGCATCGATGGTGTGCGCCAAGGTAAAAGAGAGCGGAGGTGAGGCTGTTAGGATGCACTGTATAATCCACCAAGAAGCACTGTGTGCCAAGACTGTCCAGCTGGGCGATGTGATGAACACTGTTGTGAAAACTGTCAACATAATTCGCGCTAGAGGACTGTACCAGAGAATTTCAAGCTTTCCTATCTGACGTGGATGCGGAATACGGGGATGTACTCTACCACTCTGATGTGCGCTGGCTCAGCCGCGGCTCTGTGCTGCAGCGGTTTTACTCGCTGAGATCAGAAATCGACCAGTTTTTGAAAGAAAAGGGCCGACCTCTTCATGAACTGAGTGACCCTCTGTGGCTGTCAGACCTGGCTTTTTTAGTTGATCTTACTCATCATCTGAATACACTGAACAAGAACCTACAAGGCAAAGAACAGCTGGTGCCTCACCTGTATGCGCACATGAAAGCCTTCTGTGTAAAGCTCCGTCTGTTTGAGACACAACTACGAAGCTTTAATGCTGCACACTTCCCTGCGCTGTCTGAAATCAAGTCTGCTATTCCAAAGGCCGACCTTTCTGCTAAAAAGGAGAAATATGTGTCTGTGATTACATCTCTCCTGACAGAATTCAACCAGCGTTTCCAAGATTTTTCTGTCATTGAAAAAGAAATCAAGCTGTTCTCGACCCCCTTTCTGGTGGATGCAGAAGAAGTGGAAGAGAGTCTGCAGTTAGAACTGATTGAAATGCAATGTGATGATTCTCTGAAGAGTCAACATCAGCTTCTCTCCCTCCCTGACTTCTATCAGAGTTTGGATAATGCCAAGTTTCCTCTGATGAGACGCCACGCAAAAAGAATGATGAGCCTGTTCGGCTCAACATACATATGTGAACAAACATTTTCTCTGTTAAATCATCACAAAAGCAGACTGAGAACCAGAATGACTGATAGCCATCTCTGTGAAGTCCTTCGTGTCTCAACCACCAAACTTACTCCAGACATGTCAGCCATCCTTCAATCCAAAGGACAGCATCACTGCTCCCACTGAGTGCAATGTTCTTCAGATTATAAGTGAGTTAGAAATACACACAGTATTCATGTGTTAATATGTCACCTCTAGTGTGTGGCCCAGCCCCAAATAAATTTTTTTGTATTTGGCCCTCACTAAAAAAACTTTGGACACCCCTGTTATAGAGGATGACATTAAAGTTACATGGTTGATGTAGTGTCTTAAGATTTGTGCAAACTGTTAACAAATAAAAAAAAACTTCACTTTGTAAGAGCATCTGTAACCATTAAGAACTATATTAATAACCATATTAATTTTCACTGAACTCATACACAGAATATAGCTGTAGAAATATAAAATATAAATAACATATGGAATGAAAATCAGATATAAAGCACATAGATATAAAGTATAAGAAATAGTTTGAAGAGTACAGCCATGTACTGAGCTCATGTTAATAATAAATGAGTTACTGTATGTTCTGTACTAAAGCACAGAGACTGTTAATGATTTAAATAATTCAGGTTATATTTGTTTCATGTTAAGATGAAGTACTATCCACAATAAACTGCTGAATTTTTCCTCACAAAATCTGAGACCATTTGATGTAGAATATCATTGTGTGAGTGAGAGAGCTGAAAACAGCATGATTACAATAATGTTTATCTTCTTAACTTTGAATAGATGTTGATTATCTGAATACTGGACCTTTGTTGTCTGGGTAGTACACTGTTGAATTTATAAATGTGCTCTTACACACAGATGAATACAGAAAAATAGATGAGAACAAAAAAAAAATGATTTAATGAATAACTGATATTTTCTCTCTTTCTTTGCCATCCTGAAGACCTCTCACTAAAAGTCCATGTTCTCCTGGATCCATGTCACATGCTCGAGCTTCTTCAGAATGACTTTTCAACAGTTGAAGTTCTGCTGAGAGAAGATGGCCAGCAGATAAGACAGCAGTACATGAAGGAGCTCCACAAGCTTCAGGAGGAGGAGGAGGGTTTGCACCTTGGAAGACTGTATTCATGCTTCAGCTGTTCAAATAAAACTAGATCTCCTCCAAACAACTTGCAATCAAACTATTTTCTTCCCATTTTAAAACCCTTTGTCTAGTTTAGATGGGAGAAGTTGATATTATGTGATATTGATCAGGGAAGACTACATTTCTAAATCATTTTTAACTGTGTTTTTATTCACAAGTTATTGATCTTATTTACTCTCCATGTATCTTGATTTAAGAATAGGCTGTGTTTAAGGTCATCATTTTGCAATGACTCTGTTCCATCCCACTTTCAGAAATGAACTACATTAGTATTTATCAAAAGAATAAGAAGTTGTGTAAAAGTAGACTTCCTTCCCTAAGCTATTGAGTTGAGCATTAATCTGAAATGTATACTCATAAGTAGACATAAAGGAGTGCATTTATATAGAAATATTTATTTAATCTGAAAAACAACATTAAAAAAAGTCTGTTTTTACAGCAGAGATGAACATGTTTACAGCTTGGTACAAAACAAACAAATAGGTGTGATTAGCTCATGTCTCGATGGACACACACTGTACGGGGGGGGTGAATGTTTTGATGACTCATCAGTTTTGATTTGATGAAGAATAAGAGTTATTCACAATAAGGCGTGTAGCTGACCAGCTTGACAGGTGGGCACGGTGTAACGGTTTGTCAGGAGGCTTAAAACCCGCCTCAGCTCTCAGTCTGTGGGTGACATCACTCAGGCCATCCGGGGGAGACCTCCCTCACAGCGAGCTGTTGAAGAGAAGCAACTGAAGTCCACCCCAGAAGAACCAACAAATACAGATGATGTTGAGGCTCAGGTTTCTTCCTCTGTCTCTGCAGCTCTCTGGGCACCTCGATGGACCAGTCACCAATAATGCACACTGTGTCTACAGGAGAAATACAAAGGTGTTCAATTAATACCTCAGACAAGACAAAATGTACAGTTAACTACATGTGACAGCTCAGGCTGTTTTTTTGTTATGAGCCACATCTGCAGGAATAATATTGAACAAGGTAGCTGTAACTCATCATAATAGATGCCAGTCTTAAATACTATTTTTTCTAATACTTAGTTTTTGGTGTGAAGCTGACACTGTCCACAGACTCCATGACTTCACAGGGTTCAATAGAAAACAAATGTCTTATAATAAATACTAAATAATTATTTTTCAATTGTCATGTTCACCTCATCGCTGTTGACATCAGTAAATATAAGACACAGACATTCCTCTTTTTGTCACAACAGTAACATGAACTGTATGCTTTGTAATATTGATTTCTTCTGGATGTCTCATATTTACAGTTTATGGATAAAACTTTGTTAATGTATTTCTCTGCTAACACTGACAAAGTCTAACTGCTCTGACAAATAACTAATAACCATGATTGTATATTTAAAAAAGTGTAGTTTTAAGACTTTAATTAAATATTTGGGTTGAATATAATTCGTTTTAACTGTTGTAGAAAAGTTAAATGTTAACTTACTGTTTGGAGAGTTTTCTCAGGATGAGCAGGAATAGTTGATGATAGCAGCCTAGCTGTTAGATATGCTGTGAAGTGGACTGCTGACGTCGAGCTGAATGGGCGGAGCTAAGTCCCGCCGGTCCCGCCTTACTGCTGTCGTTAGGTTGATCCAAAGTTAGGTTGAAACTGCAAATCCAATATGGATGCGGCCGTCGATTGGACTCATTTTCTGCCTATGTAACAGACGGGTCAGGGTTCGTCCAGTAATATTTACAGTCTATGGTTCTAAACAACGAGATCACTTCCGCTAGTCGCTCATTTCACAGAATGGGGCCCCTCGTACTTCTCTTCTCTTTTTCTCTGCTGCATTTATGTGCTACACAAGGTAAGAACTTTATTTAGTGTATGTTTCCTGTTCTTGAAGTTTCTTTTGTAAACATCTGTAGTTCTGCACGGCTTTAATGATAGTTAGATCTAACAATGTAATCCGTTTTTTCATTAATGCAACACTGAGAGTTTATACAAGGCCTTCATACTTTAAACTGAGACATAATGATTGTTACTGTCAGCGGCTGGTCAGTGGATTGAATGTAAATAATCAAAGTGAAAGACTTTAGAGTTTGTGATCACTGAGTGAACTGGAGATGTTAAGACTTCCATTAGTGTTTCTACAGTTTGAGTAGCTGTATAGTAGTTATAGTGAAGATAAACTGTTCTTTTATCCTGATACATAAAACTTGAAATGGAAAGTATAAAAAGTGACTAAGTGTGTTATAGCTGAGGGTCAGGGTCCAGAAACCATCGAGGTCATTTTCATATTATTACCTTCTCTTTTTTTGCATCAGTCCTCCATCTTCACATTGCAAACCGCCCAAACGGTTTGACAAAGCAGAGGCTTTAGGCGTTAATCTAATGGTCCATCCTCCACTCCTTTGAAATGACTTTCTTACTGTCATGGAGTTCCTGATATGGGATTTATATTTCTGAGTGAGAAATCTAAAAAACTATTGTATTTGTGAACTGCAGTTTACAGTCACTGAAAATAATTAAGAATTAAGCTGTAAAAAAAGAAGAAGCTTGAGGACAAAAGACAACTTGAAATTGTGTCACTTGTGTGTGTGTGTGTGTGTGTGTGTGTGTGTGTGTGTGTGTGTGTGTGTGTGTGTGTGTGTGTGTGTGTGTGTGTGTGTGTGTGTGTGTGTGTGTGTGTGTGTGTGTTATCCGCCGCCGTGTCATCTGCAAATTTCACAATGATGTCGGAGCTTCTCGTGGCCACACAGTTGTGTGTATAGGGTGAAGATTAGGGGGCTTAAGACACAGCCTTGTGGTGCTCCAGTGTTGAGGGTGCAGGGGCTGGAGGTGTGTCTGCCCACTCTGACCACCTGGGATCTGTTTGACAGGAAGTCCAGGATCTAAGCACACAGGAAGGTGTTTAGCCCTGAAGTATGTCAACCAGCTTGGAATGGAGGCTGGCGGGGAGTATGGTGTTGAAATCTGAACTAAATATTGCGATATTAAAAACAACTGATGTGATGCTCTGAAGGAAAAGACACCCTGACTAAATGTAGTTTTCCTGAGTGGGATTGTGCAGTGCACCCTATAGCTGCACTTCTAGTTGTCCTGTTTGTTGTGAGCCATATAAATAAAGAAAGTGACAATCTTCATTTCTGTTTCTACATCAGTTACATTTACCCAGATATGTTGAGAAAAATGTTTAATCAAAAAACTCTTTGATTTTTAAGAATATTTTACAACATGAGCAGAAACATTTTTTACACAACGAAAACAACTCTATTATATTACTGTAGCATGTAGCTATTAATCATTATAAGCAGCAACCTATTTACAGTATAAATCCAAATCATGAATCATGAATGGGGCAGCAGTAGTAGCTCAGTCTGTAGAGACCTAGGTTGTATGAGAGTTTGTCTGTTTGTTGGAGACGTTCCAGGTCACTTTCTGAGTACAGCCAAATTGTTCTTAAGTAAGGCATTGAACCCCTAACAGCTATGACGCACTCCCTGTGTATCAGTCCCACTCTGACATCTCTCTATTAGTGCACGTTCAAGGATCCTGTTTGTGCATGTTTGTATTTTGAGTCTTTGTGTGTGAGTAGTACAATGTCTCAATATCAGAGTGTAAACCAGAATTTCCCCTTCAGGATTAATAAAGTATATTAAAACTTTAATTCCTGTTTTAGGTTTGTGTTTTTAACCTTCAGTCAGGTGATCATTTTCTGTGTTTGTCAAGAACTTTAAGATACAAGTAAACAAGTGATACATTCTTAACATGGAAATACTGATTAAAGTGTTTTTTTAACCAAACACATGATTTTTATTTCTCTTCTCTCTGCAGTGACTCCTGTGTTTGTGAAGACAGGAACAGATTTACTTCTGGAAGTGAAGGAACCTGTTGTTCTGAAGGAGGGAGAGGATTTTATATGGAAGGTCAATGGCAGTGATAATGTTGTGAAATTTCGTGGTATTAAACAATCCATTCCAGAAAGTTATAAATCTAGAGTAGAATTTTCTGCACAAAATCACTCTCTACTGTTAAAGAACGTACAAAAGGGGGACAGTGGAGTTCACAGAGCACTTGTTTCTGGTGACGAAGACATCACTGTAGCTGAATACAGCGTCACAGTTCTGGGTACGTTTCTTTAATTTGAAAATGTTGATACAGAGTCGTTCCCTGTTTTAAAAAAAGTCATCACACTTGCTTTGCTTCTTGCAGATCCAGTGTCTGGAGTGAAGCTGACAGTGAAACCCTGCAGCTCAGACTCCACTAAGGTCACAGTGATCTGCAGCACTGAGGACTCTCTCATCAGCAGCACGTTCACATGTGACACACAAACCTGCTCTCACGAGGGAGGAGAGCGAGCAGAGATCATCACACCTGGTGCTTCTCTGGACGTCTACCTGGAGAACAGCTCAGTCATCTGTAACCATAGCAACCAGGTCAGCTCTACAAGGGACATCCAAAAGATTGAAGAGTTTTGTGTAAAGCCTGAAGGTAAGAATTAAAAACTACAATTTAACGCTTATAAACAGTGTGGACTGTAGCCTGAATAGAAACATACAGATACTTATTTCTCTTTTGATGAAACAGTGATATAAATATTCTCCATTGTGTTTCAGCTGTTGGTAGGAGATCATTTTGTTCATAAATTCTGAAGAAATAATTTCAGCAGAAACATTGTCATGATTTAAGACTAATCAGTGATAGTTTGTTAATCAATTAGCTTTAAAAAAAAAGTTTTTATTTTATTTTTCAAAACAACACACACAAAATATAAACGTACACATGACAGACCATTAACAAAAACCACAAGAAGAAAACAAAGACCAAACCAGTCATCATGTTCATCATTCTTCTAAACATGGCCTTAGTGCGATCCATCTCATTTCAGTCATTCATTGTTCCCTCTCTGTTTGTGATTACGCCCTCTAAACTATAAAATGAAACGAAGCAGAGATTATTTGACATATAAATGTGCTAGCATTAATTGTTTAAAAGCTAAAAACAATGAAATTGATTTCATGAGATTCAGATGTGTTATTAATCCCTGAAGGTCAATTCAGTCACACAGCCTTTAGAGTCTTATTAAAAGAAGTCAAGACAAAGTAAAGAGTTACATTTACATTCAGTTACAACAGGTCAGCAGAGGAGAAGCAAGATCTAAAAATCTATTTAAAAAATACAATGTCAGAAATGTCTAAGGTGATCCTTAAAACCAGGAGGTGACTATCCTTCCATGTAGTTTTAAATTGTGACTTTAGGGCACCATCCATTCAGGGTTGATTAGACCAATTTCATATTTTACTACAGATCAGGTCTGTGAGATTGAGTGGTTATAGTTCACTCTCAGGTATGCTGCAAGAGTTCAGCCAAGTATGAATTTCTAATCTGGCTTTCTTTTTTCTTTACAGCATCGAAAGGCAGCCAAAATAATGTTACACCGATTGTTGTAGCCATCGTCTTATCTCTTGTTGTTGTTTTGGCTATAATTTGAATTCATCATCGAAGGAGAAAACAAAGTAAGTTAAGTTTGCATTTAAAGTGAATTTAAATGTGAAATCAGAAAATCCTTATTGTTTACATCAAACTGAATTGACCCTTTAGATGAGTACATTCTTCTCCCCTGTGTTGATGTTTTTATTATCATTCAAAAGACGTCCCTTATGAGTGAATCCTCTTATCAGGGCGATCTGATAAAGACAGCGCAGCAGTTACACTTAGAAGCCACACCTTAGAGTTAGAATAAATAAACAATTTACAATGTTAACAAAATAAATCACATGTAAAGAACTTTTAAATTCACATGAATTTACAATATTTGAGGATGGCAATTCAAAACTGTTTATCATTTACAAACAATTAAAATGAGGCCCCATTATAAAATGTTTATGCATTTTGATTGCATTCATTACTATTAATAAATTAACAGAATACATTTTTCAATGTAGAAAAAGTGACTCTCAAAATCACACCAAATAAATCCAGAACAGAATCAGCTCCAGTAATGTTAATGTAGTTTCAACATGTTTCTTTATGACTGATCTGCAGATAAAGCAGAGAACATGGAAAATACCGTCTATGAAGATCCTCAGGTAAGGAGGAATATTTTTTAACACCAATTTCTCAAATTAGTCAGAAGTGAAGAAATTCTTGAACAAATTAATGATTGAGAACTGATGTGAAGAGACAGGCCAGAGACATTACTGTTTTCAAATTCCTCACTAGCTCATATTCTATTGGTCATGTCTTCACACATATGGAGCCCTGCGTTAGTTCAGGAGGAATACGGTAGTCCTGCTCGCAAGCGGCCATCAACTGATCTGAGAACCGCCCCAATGCCAACCAATCATTTTCACACTTGACAACAAGGCGGTGTATTTAAACCATTCTGCCTCTCACTCCTCCTGCATCACATCCACTCTGCTGATAGACACTGCTGTGAAATTCTCCTTCCACCACCCCAACCTCCACCTGCTTCAGTCATCACATTTTATACTCTAGGAGGAATTGTTTGCTTCTTATGTCTGCAAGATGTTAGTACCATTACATGCACATTCAGGCTCTGTTCTGCATGTCCCCATGGGGGGAATTAAATGTTTGCACTCTCAGCAAAATCTGTGGCATGCTGCACTGATACTGCTGAGAGATAAGAGCAGCTTAGTTCTCAGCAGCTTCAGTTCAGTCAGCTATTTCTGACTGAACTTACATAGTGGTCTGTTCAATGAGCTCTTATAACACTAACCTCTGCATTGATCTGCTCTTCCAGGTCCTGCTGCTTGCTCCTACCAGCCACATGCTCACAGCTCATGTCTCTGGTTGTTCTGCTTTCTTGTGCTTCAATGTAATGCAATGAAGCTTTAAAACGATTGATTTCCAGATGAATGTTGAATGGCAATCCATCTCTTCCACCCTGGTGCTTCAACAGTTTCATGTCGCAATGTGTCCATTATGACTGCAGTAAGTCTGCTATGTATGTTTGTCTGCTTTTTGAAACTTGTTTTCCCCTCATTTTTTGCAACTTCACAAAAGTGGCGTCTTTGCAAAAACAACAAATGCAGGTTCTGCAAGGTGCTGTGGGCTCAGAAGTCTGTGTACTATTATCGAGATCAGGCCAGTGTTGAAAATAAAGCCCATGTGGAAGTGCCCAAAACTGCAGCTCCTGAGGGCTGACAAATACCCATTTCCACCCCATATTAAAATGTCTGTTTGTACTAAGTGCTGACAGGCTGGTATAAAGAAAACCATAGCTCATTTCTAGATCCATGACGACTTCTTCCCAACAGTTGTAAATGTATTAAACCTTTGAAGTTATGGGGTGTTGTGGTTCTGTGTGGCAGGTCGAACCTAATAGCTTTAGAAATACAAAGATCTCAGGGGAAAATGAGGGCGGGATGCACGACCATTCAAAAACACTACCAGGTTTCTAATGATACAAAGATTAATGCAAATGGGTGAAGTATCCCTTTAATGACCTGACTGTAACTGAGTCTTTGTGGGATGTTTTCTCAGTCACAAATCGGACAAATAATGTAGCAGTAGCTTTCTGTGATAAATTGTACTAACATGCTTTTCAAGAAGTCTGGACTGAAGCAACAGTTTTTATCTTCTCACTTAACATGAAGGATTATATGTCTGTTAAGGAGTTCATGGGCTGTTATTTATTTCAGTGCTAATACATTATAATAGCCCAATTTGAAAATCGCATTTCAAATAGCAAAATAACCATTCTTATGTTGTGTGTTAAAGGCTGTGAATACAGACCTCCCTCTGCAGCAGAGACCAACAAATGATGCCCCAGCTGGTCCTCCACCCTCCAACTACTCCTTGTTGGGGCCTCCCATCGTCTCTGAAGCACCCACTCAGCCCAGAGACAACGCTCAGCCAGAGAGCCTGTATGAAATGGTGGAAATTATGAATTGATGAATATGATGTCTTCAGCACACTTCTCTGTGTGGAATAATCACTTTAGTTTAGTTTAGTTTAGTATCAGTGAAGGACTTCTGACTGCGTCTTCTTTTTCTGTGCGTCGGTCGTGGACTAGCTACTTGAGTCATGCAATGAAGTTAAAAGACCCAACTACAGTCAGATTGCTGATTTTATTATGAATTATAACAACAATCACCTTCTGACTGGAATCATTTGCCAGATAACCTGTGAACAATTAACTCTTTTCATACCTTTTCTGCTTCTGATTGTACAGTAATCTTTGTAATTACCATCATTAGTGTCAATACTTACAATGTTATTAGTTAATATGTGATGTGAAATCTCGTGGCTGTTTACATTGTGTAGGCGGAGTGGCAATACAGGATTAATGTCCTGGTGGGTTGATGTATGAGTGTGTTTGTATGTGTTGTTGAATGTCTCTGTGTCACTTGTATTTGTTGTGTATTCATATGTTGTATGATTCAATACATTTTACATTTCAATCTGCTGATGAATAATACCATTTGGACTTCAGACCGAAACAAGAACTGTTTTGTTGCAGACATTTGAGCCTCTCACCTGCAACATCATAAATTATGTTTATAGAGATCCTTTATGTCACATGCTATATGGAGACACCTTTGCTGTTAACAATCAGGTGACTCATACAATAGAACTGTTTTGATGTAGATATTTTATTTTTTAAAATTAATTTACTGTATATATTTCAAATGTTACAATCTATTTTTTTTTTTATTGCTAATTTGTGTTTTTGCCAATATTTGATCATCTTGATGCTTCTTATCAAATGTTTCTTTAAACCTTAATGTGAATAAAGCCTTTTTAATTTAAAGCTACAGTGAGGATCTTCTGGTTTGTGTCAACTTTAAAGCACCTTGTAGATAAAATAAAATAAAATAAATCTCATCCAGCTTTTTATTTTAAAGCAAATGTATCACTCAACATGAACCTTTATCATGCAGAATGTAAAAAAGGTAAGTTTGGCCTGACACCTCCTCCATAGTGACTTGTCCATGATGATCTCCTCAGCTTGTGTAGCTCATAAAGAGGCATCAGTATTAATCTCAGTCTGTTACATAACCAGTTAATAACTCCTCACAGGAGCTTTAACAGACATTTAAAGAATGAGTGAATAAGTTTACTGCTTCACACTGAACTTCTGTCAGCGAAAAAAAACAATAAAACAAGTGAATTAACACCAAACACATCAAACTCTCTCACCTATTAGCCATTATCCATCCAATATATCGATGAGTACAATATATTTACAATGCTTTTGTTATTACTGAAGGTCCAGAAAGGAGGCTTCACATCATATTATAGAGTGAGAGTTTATTACTGAGGGTCCAATATGATGCTTGGACAAATACTGTGAAATATCATTGATTAATATTTTATAATTATCATTAATAATATTATAAATAGGACAAACGACATTACAAATACTGCATTTTATGTTTATCTGCAGACAACATTCTCAAAAACCTTTTAACATCAACTCTGAGCAATGAATTTATTTACAAGAGGCCAATGTAAACAATTTAATTCAAGAAATAAAATCATTTTGCCCTGTGATTAACTGAGAACAGTCCAGGGTTTACCCCGCCTCTCAGCCAATGACAGCGGGGATCGGCTCCAGCCCCCCCGCCCGCGACCCCGAATAATGGATGGAGGGAAATGATAGCCTTGTGTGATGGATGAACTGTGTGTATAGTAAAGAGACAATGCCTTTGCTTTTTTTACATTCATTTTATTGATAAAAAAGGTATTTATAATATGTCTATGAAGCTTTACAAAAGTGCTGAGTCACTTCTATCCTAATAAACTTTAGAAGTCAAAGCAGAATTGTACAGGTATTTTTACTCTCTTCATTATTTGCATCCATGTTTGCTGATATTCTTCCTCTGCCTCCTCAAACTACATTTCTCTGTGTTTTACCGCCACCAACAGTCCATCAGTGGAATAGCATGAAGTCTGTGAAATAAGTGTGTATATACCACCGTGCCCCCTGCAGACTCACATACACACAGCTTAAACACAACAAGGTCACACATGTTCAGTCAAAAAAAGAAAAGAAAACAAGAAGCTCCATTGTGCTACTAGTGGTCAAACTCTCCACAGAGGATTGTTGGGGGAGAGGTGGTTGTTAATTTTTTCTTCTTAAGCTTCTCTACGACGTGAACACTGATGACGGCACACATCATGATGACCAGACCGATCGAGACCACGTATATCTTCAGCCTGTAGATAGAGAAACCAACCCCAGATATCTCTGGACCAAAAAAAAAACATTGTTTCATTAGAAAAGTGATGCAAACCGATCTTCAACAAGAATGTGATTCAACAACAGGACAGGGTGCAGCTGGTCAGTTGTTCCTCTTTTTGCATACTGACAGCATTTAGCTTTACATTAAAGTGTTGAAAATTTCACATAACCATATGAAGGGCTCATCTTTATTGTTTGTAAAGTGGGATGTTGGTCTCGTTTTAATTGCCATTTTAGTGCCAAATCAAATAATCACATTCAAGTGCCAGCCTGAGTTCAGTATTTAATGAGTCATCATTTATTATTAGTAAGGCAAAGAGGAAGTTCTATAACAACTTTAAACTTTAAAGTGAGCAGAAACGAGGTATAACTAGGATAAATATTGGAGATGCTTTTGAAAAATGGAGAGGCAGAAAGGTTTCCAGACTGATGCAGACCTGGCTAAACACTGAAGCTTCAGTTTTCAAGACATGGCAACCTTCATGAGCATCGACTCTAGGGAGGAGGGGGCAGACAGCTCTCGTTAATGTTTTGAATTGAACTGCAGTACCAATTTCAAACACTAGGTGTCCAAGTTACATATTGCCCCTTTAAATTCATAGTGGAGAATAAATATCAAGTGATCTTTTCAACTTTAAAAAGATGTGTTGTCTTGACTATTAATAGTCATAGCTAAGCCACAGCCAATCAGTAGCAAATCAGTCAATTTTTTCTGAAATATTTAATCATTTTTGTTTATAAAAAAAAGACTTGGAAATGTTATGTCAACATTGGTTGGTCTTAAATAATGACTTTGTTTCTGTTACCTAGGCAACTATTTTTTAAGAAATGTTAAACCTTATCACCTGTCAATAGCTGAAACACAATAAAAAAAAATGGAGAAAATCATCTGTTTGTTATTATTCAGGCAAAAATCCTCACTGTGCATTAATGTCAGATTGGTGATTAGTTTTTAACTCTTACCTTCAGTCTTTACACAAAACTCTTCAATCTTTAGGATATCCTTTTTTCGAGCTGACCTGGTTGCTATGGTTACAGATGGCTGAGCCGTTCTCCAGGTAGACGTCCAGAGAAGCACCAGGTGTGATGATCTCTGCTCGCTCTCCTCCCTCGTGAGAGCAGGTTTGTGTGTCACATGTGAACGTGCTGCTGATGAGAGAGTCCTCAGTGCTGCAGATCACTGTGACCTTAGTGGAGTCTGAGCTGCAGAGTTTCACTGTCAGCTTCACTCCAGACACTGGATCTGCAGGAAGCAAAGCAAGTGTGATGACTTTTTTTAAAACAGGGAACGACTTTGTATCAACATTTTCAAATTAAAGAAACGTACCCAGAACTGTGACGCTGTATTCAGCTACAGTGATGTCTTTGTCACCAGAAACAAGTGCTCTGTGAACTCCACTGTCCCCCTTTTGTACGTTCTTTAACAGTAGAGAGTGATTTTGTGCAGAAAATTCTGCTCTAGATTTAAAACTTTCTGGAATGGAGTGTTCAATACCACGAAATTTCACAACATTAATACTGCCATTGACCTTCCATATAAAATCCTCTCCCTCCTTCAGAACAACAGGTTCCTGCACTTCCAGAAGTAAATCTGTTCCTGTCTGCACAAACACAGGAGTCACTGCAGAGAGAAGAGAAATAAAAATCATGTGTTTGATTAAAAAAACACTTATATCAATATTTCCATGTTAACAATGTTTCACTTGTTTACTTGTATCTTAAAGTTCTTGACAAACACAGAAAATGATCACCTGACTGAAGGTTAAAAATACAAACCTAAAACAGGAATGAATGTTGGATTTCAGTTCACATTAATACATATGTGTATCATATATTTTATCACTAATTATAGATAATATAATATCATGTTCTTTTAATTATGCATACTTGTATTGATTGTTTGAAGTCTTTATTTTGTTTGAAAAGGAGCAGGAAGAATACTTATTATTGTTGCTTTGTTAGGGACTGTTTCTTTGCATTTATCCCTCTAACATTTTATATTTTAATTGATCTAATTCTCTGTTGTGTTTTTTTCACTGTTCTCTTGCTCTAATTTTGGAGCCATCTACTATATATCCCTATAAATAAAGTTTCTTATCTTATCTCGTCTCGTCTCACACCTGTGTAAGAACTCAAAGCTGTGAAAACAAATACATTATTGTCTCGTCTCGTCTTATGGATATCTTATCTTGTGCTCAGTGATAAAATTAGGCATTTTTTTCCTCTTATTTCAGAGAACCAGGTTCTTTTTAAAACATTGAAGCTTCATCAGCGTGCTTTCAGAGTGAAACTGTTTTAAGTATCAAACTTTTATAAATATATACAAAGACACTGAAACATTTACTGTAATAAAGGTTTTCCACTTTGTCATTCCTTCATGCAAATTCTTTAAAATCTGTCCCTCTTTCTTAATATGTCATCACTTAGATTACATTTATTACAGATACAAACACAAACTGATAAAATCATGTATCGCAAGTGAAGCTCATATTTGTAATCATGAATTCAAACCTGAGGTCACTTCATGTTGATCTGTAAATTAGACGGAGCAGAGAAGTCTTTTTCAAGTGGCCGGGAAAACAGTTAGCTTACATCTTTTTATAATATACTACATTGTTTGCATCACTCTTGCAGTATTATGTTTACCGAACATAAAAACTTCAAAAATAAATCTGAGTTGTCTTAAATTAAATAAAATAGT